TTCTCTACCCTCACCTGCATCTCTTTCATCCCAACCCAAAATGCAGAGTCCACATTCTTATCCAGGCCAAAGTAGCTCTGCCGGGGAAACGTGAGTCACTTACCGGTACTCTCCATGGAAAAAAGAGAAGCCGGAGAAACATTGCTCCAAGCTTAGGAGAGTGAATGCAGGCGTTCCCTGAAAGGGGCCTTCTACTCCAAACCAATGTCACAGCACTTGGGTTTATGTTCCACTGCTAATTATAACCATGGCCCATAGTAGTCAGAGCAAGGGAGAAAATCAAAATGAAGAGGATGACACCGAAGAAGATGAAAGAAATATCCAGATAGAAGTGGCCAACCCAAGGGATATAATAAGACCTGGCAACCTGGAACCGTGGCACACTTCAGAGAGGCATCGCTATCATGCATTTCTTATGACCTTCACGGCTGAAATAGGAAGTAGGTAAAACAGTGTTGGAGGGGTTGAGGCCCCTGCCAGTTCCACAGTGCAGAGGCCCTGTCTCTGGGTACTAGGTCAGTGCTTCTCTACTCTCCCACAGTGATGGCAGGAGAGCTAACTGTCTACTTTTAAACTAGATCATTTAAATTAGGGAAGGAAGGACACAGTCATCTAGGTCATAATAAAGAAGTGGTTCATGCTTCATGGACATTGTAGGGGCCAATCCGTGGCAGTTTTAAGACAGGGCCCTTCCGCTCCCAGGATTTTGCCCCAAAGCAAAGGAGGGTAGGGCCCATCAGGAAAGATGCAGACTCCTAGTAGCTTTCATCATTCTTTCCATCTGGGACTCACCCAAAGAGGCACATACCTAGTGCCAAGTAAGACTGGGCACTGACTTCTCCATGGAATAAAGCCAGGGACTCCCAAGGAAACGCCAGCTTCTCTTGGGGTCTGTAGGCTGATGGGCTATTTCCATTGTCTGCATTCTCTCTTCCAACATTCTTCTCCCTTTGAGGAGTGTGGGAAATCCCTTGGCACTTGGCTGTTCAGAAGAGCCATGTTGGATTATGCAGAGAAGCTAAGGGCTTCCTTAGGTCTGTCTTCCTGGGAATAGAAATGTCCATGGGTGCTTGGCCCCACCATGTCATGATTCAGCAATTCTATCATCATATATATGATGCATTCATCCTTGATCATGTCCAGCATTCTGAATCTCAACTTTTACATTTCATTCTGAATGTGTCTACAACTGGTTTGAACTTGTCATTTTGATTGTGCCCATGTTGTCAATTATGAAGGGAATTGGTGGTGATGGTGGTGGTAGAAGTGGGGAAGGCAAAAGACCTCTTTGGGCCTGTTCACTCACTAATATACAGGCCAATCATGATGTACACGGATGCACTTTGTACACTGTAAGTCACCATTTGATCATGAATCATCAATATAGAGATTATGGCATTCTCAGTGTGTGCTTTCTCTTGGTTTAGTGCAGAGCCAAGACCAAAGACATTTAAATGAGATGTTCTGATGGTATAGTGATAACAAAGGCAGGTGTCTCTCACAGTGTGTAGATCAAACAAGTCAGGTTAACACAGATCCAAAATCTGGCATTGTACTGCTTACTCTGAACATTCCTTCTGCATATCAAGAAACAATTGTTTTCTAGAAGTCTCCTAGCTCAGGTACAATGGTCATTCAGAGTATGAGACTGACCCTGAAAAAAAAAACAGGCTTCTCTTTTGTTTCTTGACCTGTCACCTTAATTCTTAGGTAAAAGATACCATGGAGTTACCCTGTTCCATGAGAGTAAGGACCATAAAGATTTTTGTTCAGTCATTGCCTTTCTAGTGCCTAGCATAATGCTTGTCACATAGTAGTCACTCAATAAATAGCATGTGAAATAAGTAAATGTACTTTCTAGTTAAAGCACTCGGAGATGAATCAGGCAAGA